AATTATAGGTATGATCAAAAGTATAAGAATATATATTTTTCCATTCCTGTAATCACTATTCAACTAACACTCAACTAAAAAGGCTTTGCTCTTTTTTGCCACATCATCCCCAATTTCTTTCCTTGGCCTTGTCTTTTTCAATTCCAGGCTGACAGTGTATATATATTGTTTCTGGTTGTATTTGATAACCAAACATCTTAAAAGTATATATATGGATTGCATGTTTCAGTTGGACTTTTATTGAAATATTATTTTCTTTTTTGACAGGATACTTGACAGAGACCTTCAAGGTTTCTGATTCAACAGTCCAAGAAAAGATCAGACAGTGATGCGCATACCTTCGGCGAAATGTGAAGGATATGTAAGAGCAAAAAGAAGACTTTCTAATTCTATGGATTGCACAAGTATATATCTGTTAATATCTCTTAATATCTGTTAATAAATAATACTTTTCCATGATTGATATTGCCTCATATTCATTTCGCTGTTAAAACCAGTACACCTAAATAAATTTTTCAATAAATAAATTATCAACATAAATCACTGGTGATTCAACGGTGAATACCGTTGAACCCCTGTTGAAAAGGGTGTTGAAAACCGTTGAATCACCGGTGATTCAACGGTTTCAATTTCAACACGTTGAAATTTTTTCCATATGGGTTGTAAACCCTTTGTTGTAGCAACCCATCATTTTCCTCGCAAAAGGCAAAAACAATTTCCTTCATACTTTATTCTTGGCCTCAACGTTCTCCAATCAACTGTAGTTGACTACAGTGGATAGGTTGGATATCGCCCAGGTGCGGGCCTTCCCGGTTAGGGTAATTCCTCCGTAGAAAAGCATGGGCCCCATGTTAAAGGTGGTACAAATTCACTTGCAAAACACTGTTATCATGCACCCAGTTCCGATCGTGTTCAAGTGGCGAAGGCAGTTGGGGAGCTGAGAACTGCCGCTCAAAATTCTCAGGAACCAACACGTACCCGTGTGCGAGCTGCAACTACTCCCAGCCCTTGTAATGCTCTCGCGATGAGGAGAGTGCGACGATCGGTGTTTGCGACGAACGCGCAACGACAAAAAGTGCGTGCGACGTTCTGTCAACGACGAACTGTCCGCGATCATATTGGCCGCGACGAAATTGGTAGCGATTGGTCAAAATTGGTCACGAGAATCTCCTATAAAAGGCATGGCAACTATTTTAGAGCATGAGGGGATTTATGGGTCTATACTGTCACAGTAAGAGAGTAAAAGCGACCACGAGAGAGGGGATATTGAGGATTCACCTATTCTTACAGCCCCGCCGGGAGATATCGCTAGTGAACCCCAGTGTTTGTGGATATTGGATGTACAGGGAATTAAATTCTAAACATCTGTCACAGAGTAAAATTTAACATAGAAGCCCTTTAATAAGCCTAAGCCATAAGAGAGACAAATAGTGTCCATATTCCAGTGGCGCGCTTGAAAGGGTCTCCGGGCATCACAAAGTACGACGCTATCCTAGGTTGAATTTCAGAATCCATAAAAGGAAGCGCCATGATTGCTAATGTTAAGAGGTATTCTCAAATAGCTTATTTGGCATAAAGCGCTATGCCGTCTCGAGAGAGAGAAAACGGAGAGAGGATTACCCGTCCGCGATGCGACGTCTAAAAGATGAAGAAAGTGAGGAATGGGCAAAAGTTCGAAAAGTTCGACGAGAAACGGATTCAGCTCCCAAGGAGGCCCCAGGAGGGGAGATGCCCCCAGGCTACTCAAGTGCGATGGGAAGACAATGGAGCTTCCATGAAGGCGTTTGCACAGGAAGAAGCGCTCGAGGCTGCTTTAGCTAGGTGGCATGAGAATGCCATAAATATATAAGAGGTGGCAACGACGACAAAAGGGCACAGCAAGTACCTCTTTAAAAAGGTCCTTACTGGTCCTTACTGGTCAGTTTTTCTTCCTTTGGCGGCTGCCATGGATATTCGTTCAAATTTCAGATCTGCATTACGTGTCGCGTTATTAATCTTGCTGATGGATAAATCACCGTTGCAATAATGATCACCGTTTACGAAGGTTCCAGGAAAACTTCGTCAAAACTTTTAGGGTCGAAAATCATATGATTCCGCTTGTAGTACAGGATGAACCGACGAATTTGACACTAAATGAAGAATTCCTTATTTCAAAAATTACATTCCAAAGGATCTGACAGAGGAAGTGCGGCTCGGGGTGAACGAG